CTACCCTGATTAGTGAAATGATACCAGCCAAACTCACTGCAGAGTGGCATGGAAAAGTCTCTTATTACCGAAGAAGAAAGAAGGCAGCAATCGCTAGACACCTTCTGGAAAGGACTGCAGAGTTTCTCCATGAAAGTTTTGTCAAGATCTCTCAGGAGGACAAAAGAGACATCCCTATGTATGTAAATAAACTGTTCCACATAACCCTACATGGGAATGAGAGGCAGATGCCAACTCTGTTGTACCTCTACCACTTCTCATACAAGTAAAGCAATGAAAAATGAATACATTTTGTCTTGTTAGTATCTGGCACATCCACAAGTTATCACTATATTTAAGCAATGTAAGGGAAAATGTATGCACACACTTACCTAAGGTTCCCCTTCATCAGGCTCACACACCCTCACTTGACGGGACTGGCTAAACTGCAGTGGAGTCTAAAACAGCTCCTGGCTTGGGGCATGGCTGGACATCCCTTTCACATTTCCCACATCCTCTATACTGTTCACAGAAGGAATTGCTCTCTTGTGCTCCTTACAGTGAACTGCAGGGTGCTGGTGGGGTCTCCACCAAGTATGGCATGCTATGGCAGCACCAGATCTATTGCTGGTTTTCATGAACTTTTGTTATCCCTGGCAAAGCTCCTTCACTTTCACACAGCACTGCTGCTGATCCCTATTGTACCCCTTTACCTACATCCCCCATACAATCTGCTTCTAGGTATCCATATTTCTATGGTTGGCCCATAGCTGTGCTTGCACAGTATCTTCTCCACACAGGCCCAGGAGAATACTATGCAGGAGTGAGTCTAGTAAATGGAGCTGGCATGGTTGGCTAAGTGGTTGCACACAACAAGGATGAGTTGCTAAGTGTACTTGCTAAGGTGGGCAATCAGGAAAAGCATTTTGAAAACACGGGTGTTACAAGGGAGGGTGGCCTCCAGTCTCTGATCTCTGGGTAGAGCAGTGTAAAATTATTACCCCAGCAGTCACTGTCACAGGGAATCAGGAATTGTGGGACAGCAGCTGAAGGACTGTTGGTGACAACCCAGGTCATGCAGTATCTACATTTAGGGCACATCTACACAGCAATGTTATTTCAAAATAACTTAGTCTGCATCTGCACAGCAGGCAGGTATTTTGAAATACAGGCAGTCCCCGGGTTACGTACAAGATAGGGACTGTAGGTTTGTTCTTAAGTTGAATCTGTATGTAAGTCACAGCAGCTGAAGGACTGTTGGTGACAACCCAGGTCATGCAGTATCTACATTTAGGGCACATCTACACAGCAATGTTATTTCAAAATAACTTAGTCTGCATCTGCACAGCAGGCAGGTATTTTGAAATACAGGCAGTCCCCGGGTTACGTACAAGATAGGGACTGTAGGTTTGTTCTTAAGTTGAATCTGTATGTAAGTCGGAACTGGCGTCAGCCGCTGCTGAAACTAATCAGTTTCAACTGTGGCTGAAGCTGGATGCCAGTTTTGACTTACATACAGATTCAATTTAAGAAACCCAGGCGTCCCCAAGTCAGCTGCTGCTGAAACTGATCAGCGGCTGATTCCAGGAAGCCTGGGG